GAACAAAATGAACGAAAAATTGGCAAAAGGGGATTGAATCCAAAGTTTGGAGACTAAATTCCAAAGTACTAATAGTTGATTCGAACCTACTATCTATGATTGGAAAAGATGTGGAGTCAATTAGATGAAATTGAAAGTTAAAAGAACAAGGAGACATCAAAAGGAGCTAAAATGGATGAAGACCGAAATTGAGGGACCAAAGTGCAATAAAAGAAAGTTTTTTTTTTTTTAATATGGCGTGCGTGCAAGGGCCTATAGTGGCGAGTGTGTGCAGAGCAAAAATTTGGGCTGAAGGGACCAGCTTCCCTTTTTTATCTAAATTCTTATGGAAACCAAATTTAACATAATATTTAAGCGAGAGAAGAAGGGAGAACGAAGGGGACACATTATCAGACAAATTTTTCACTACAAGAAGAAGGTTAGCACATGATTCAAAGGTGATTAACACGAGAGATTGAAAATCCAACATCCAGATTGAAGATTAATTTTCCAATCGTTGTTTTCAATTTCGGGTATTTTTTTCAAATCTTTTTGTGTGACTCATTAAATAACATGCTAGGATAATTATTTTCAAATATTGAATGAAGATGAAACCTTTTATTATTTGTTTTTAATTCAAGACAAGTAGCTTTGTTGAATTCTATTATGAATAGTGCCGATGATTAACTCATAAAGTTTGTCGAGTTAATTATAGGGGAAAGTATAGGTCTATTATGAATGACCTACTAAGCCGTTGTGTAGAAATTTCATCTTCCTCTGTAATATTTTAAATTATACAAAAATTTTTAAAATGCTAATGTCTTCATTTTAAAGATTAAAACTCTCTGAAAATTCTCAAAAAGTAAAAACTTTAGTAAAAACTCAAAAAGTTTATTTTCATAATTTTATTTTTATTAAGATGAGCGAGTTTTAAGAAATTCAAGTACGTCTCGATCAATGATGCCCAATTGCACATCATTAGAAATGATCTTCATAGTTTGGATGGCGATGAGATCCTGATTTATTTTGCAAAAACTATAAAGAATCTTTTTGAATGTCTTGTGTAAAACCTTGAAAAATCTATTTTAAAGTATTGGATTTCAAATTTATTGTGACAACAGGGGACTTATAGATTCGTCATGATTACAACCAGTGATGAATAACATTATTCATTATATCTCGTCCCTTCCTCTATGTAAAAAAGTTTCAGAAAATGTTGAATAGCATAATCATTCAGTTAAATTTCACAAACAAAACCCAAGCACTGAATACAAGCAAACTCTTAAAATATTCTCCCTGCAAAATGTTTTTCAGTTTCTTGTCCAGCATTTGGGTCCTTGTCAACAGCAATCTTGTTCAAGTAAAAGCTATGCCCTACACCATGGCAGATCAACAACTCCACTACTTTCTTAGCCCCGTTTGAGTCCCATTAAATTTATATTTTTTCTCTTCTCTTTTAACCACATATTTTTTAATAAAATAATATTACATATAAATAAATAAAAATTCCTTCTTTTTCAACCATATATTCTCAAAAAACACTAATCCAAAAGTTATAACATAAAATAATGGGGACCAAATGGGGGCTTAGCTATTTCGTGGCCTCGTTGAATTCCATTTCAATGTCCTCGATCAAATCTTGCTCTACCAAGCAGTACAAATACAGCAGCAGTGCGCCGCCTATCTCATTGGACAAGTTATAGCTAGGATGGTCCTTATAGCATCCAATTCAAAATTGGAAGTTTTAATTATCCAACTTATTTAGACTCAACGTGCAGAAATAAGTAATTAAAGAGCAACAAGTCACTTTTAGTTGCTTCTAGGTGATTAGTTAATCAAATTCAATTATCCTATGTTTTGAATGTCACAATCAATAAATAAAGCAATAAAGAACACCAAAGATGATATTGGAGAAACTCTAACTGGATAAAAACTTCGAGTACTTTACCAATCAATAATTCACTATAAATCAAAGCAAACTTACAGTACGGTCCAGACTCGTAGAGCTTTTGACCTCGATTCATGCATTCTTCCTTGACCCTACTAGAGGTATGCTCCTTCAAAACAAATTCCAATTCTTGGTTTATATCTTAGCCCTCTGGACTATGTGCTCCTGACGCAGACCTCGACTTCTGGTACCTCAACTTAATCCTTTTTAATTTGTGCTTCTGAACAGCTCCCAATCCTTGGTATCGATTTATCTCCAGTGGATTAAGTGAAGAATTCCTCGTTCTTCGATTGATGTTTGATCAAACGATCTGTGTCTTGATCAGTAGTTTAACATTTCAGGATATGAAAATATATGGCTCAATATATATCTTAATTAATGGAATAATTTTTGAAGCAATACAAAATTTTGGATGTTGACCTGTCGCTCGAGCTCTAGGCTAGTGGCAACTTAGCAGTCGTCAGTATTTTTATGATAACTTTCTCTTCCAATATCGGATTGAGGTGATTCAAGCTATGTTGGAAAGATAACTTGAAGGACTACAATTCTTATACAAATAGTATTTTCCAAATTCGAACGTCTTCTCTGTGAAAAATGCATTTCAATTTGTTACTAAGAATTTGGAGCATAACTTGTGCGGCTTTTTGGCACCCTTTAGACTTCTAATGCATTTCCTTGATCATATTTGATCTTCTTGGACATTTTTGACATATTGGATCAATTCTTAACTATTTTAACTTTGATTATAACCCGATAAACTCTTAATACAATTCAACTAGGATTTGTTTTTTACATAGGAAATTGTCAATTACAATTTGGACTTAACAATCTCCTCCTTTGATATTCCGTGACAAAATCATTTATTTCAAAGTCAAAAGACCACTACAATCTACCTATTAAATACTTTCCAAACTACACTTCAGCAACTTGTCATCCAGCTTCCTAAAACACATGAAAACCACAATACCACACGAAACGCAAGAGAAAACTAACGACAAAGATCATATAATTAAGTTATATAAAACAACATAATAAAATATGTGTAACATCAAAGCATGCAATATCATATGAATTATAAACTTAGAAATAAATCATAGAATTTTATATCAATATAGACAAAACACAACATTATATCAATAATAAAATTCTAGCAGATATATTAAGGCCTTGTCTGGGAGAAATTTTTTTCCCTGGGAAAATTGCTTTTCCAACCGTTAGCTGCCGATTTTGTTGACTTGTGTGAGACAATGGGACCCGTGAAAATAACAAGCAACGGTAACAATTTTGATTTTAAGCACAGCCAGACAACACCTAAATGGCTTCCCCTAAGTCATCTGTCAATCAAAAAATTCAATTTTCTTAAAATCTCCCCTTAAGTTATATAATCAACTCCCTGAAATAAATACACACATCTATCCCCCTTTTTGTCATGAATAACAAAGAAAAGACAAGTAATGATCACGCGTGTATAATGATGAAAAATTATCAAAAAAATGTGATAGAAGAATTAAAAAATTTCTATTTTGAGACCAACTATTTATTTTCTAATTCTTCATGAATTTTCATCTTGAACAGTTATTTGCTTACTCAAACTTGCGTAGTTCATAAAAAGGTAAATTTTCCCACATAACTTATTTTAAACCTAAATGGAGTAAATTGTATGGTTCAAAGAAGTATCTTGGCTCAAAAAGATATATATATTTTTTTAACACAATGATATGGTGGTTGAATATCGAGATCAAGGAATGATGATTTGAATCTTCAAGTAAATATCTCTATGAAATAATATGATTCAACACACTTTGAGAAGCTCATAGAGAAGGATATATATAGGGAAAGGTGTTTGGATAAAAAGGAATTGAAAATTTAGTGTTTGAAGCAAAATAAAACTCTCCAAATTCGAAAGTATTCTATGTGAAAAATGCATTACAAGTTGCGACTAAGATTTTGGAGCATGTGCAGATTTTTGACACTCTTTAGACTTTTAATTGCATTCTCTTGATCATGTTTGATCTTCTTGGATATCTTTGACATCTCGGACTCATTCAAGACCCATACTACCAATCTTTAACTATTTTGACATTGATTATAACTCAATAAACTCCTAATACAATTCAATTAGGACTTGATTTTGACATAGGAAATTACCAATTACAATTTGGACTTAACAAAGAACTTGTCCACCATGTCAAGAATTAGAAAGGATGATTCCGGCTGCTTCAACTCCGATTTGCTCTGTTGTGAACCGACGATACCGAGGTGGATTCGTGCAACCCAATTTAAGGGGAATCAAATTTTCATTTCCAGAACGATCTGCCACCTAGTGTACTATGTTGCCACCGGAGCTATCTCTTACTAAGAAAACTCGTTCAAAATTTGTACGGTCATTGAGCCAGGGGCCCAAGGCTCATAGGTTTTGCCTTGTGTTAAAAAGCAAAGCCAAAGGAGTGCAACACACCCGTCGTCATAGGCGGCTAGGAGACGGTGCTCAGGTGCACATTAGAGATAGACTGAAACAACTATGGCTCGATTTGTACATGCTAGACTAGTGAAAATAGTGTGGTACATGTACCAATCAGCTTGGCTAATTCAAAATCCACCACCATGAAATTGAAGTAACAAAGGAAGTTTGTCAAAGTCCTCAATATTCTTTTCAGGTAGATATATTTGTACCTTTTGGTCCGAATTTGCAACAGTAACAACGTCTTTGATAGCAATTCCATCTTCAAAGTCGTCATGAGGTAAGACACGATCAACCATGAACTTGAATTCGAGCGGTCCAGTCCTTGCTCTATCAATCGAGCCATCATCAAGACTGTTAGCCATCCCCAGGGACGGATTTGGGGGTAGGGCAGGGCTGCAGTCCCCCCCTTATGCCCAACAAATTTTTTTAAAGGTATTTTTTTATTTTTTTTGGTAAAAAACCAATTTTTTATGTGTAAATTTTTTTTCCACGTAGTGGCCCGATTTGAAATTTTATAGCCCCGTCTTGAATCCAATTCTGAATCTGTCCCTGGCCATCCCAATACTTCATCAACGATCTTTATACCTTGGACCATGGTGTTAACCGGAATGGTGGATTGTGTGTTGAGAGATTCTAGATAATTGTACGAAGAATTAGGAATGGATTGAATTGATACCATTTTATAGATGTAGCGTGGGAAAATTTTAGCAAGATTACTGCACTAATATTATAGACAAGTTGGGTTCGGTACAAGAAAATGTTTGGCAAGGACAAGGGTAGTTCCTGGGGAGATGACAGTTGAGATTAGTGGAACTGCTTCTCAAGTCCAAACAGCTCAGCAGTTGATTCAGGTAATATTGTTAACCTGGGATTTAGATTGATTGTTCAAACGTGCATGTACTCAATTAAATTTTTTAAGTTTGGCCCTTTTAGAATTTGTTATGCATTTGATTGCCCAATTATGGATTTTAGAATTTACTTCAACATCATGTAGCTTTATTCGACCATTTCTTTAGTGCGTTGAGTATTCTTAAATAGTTGCTGAATCTCATCATATTATTTTAATGGTTTTCTACTGCAGAATTTCATGGTAGAAGCTGCAAACCCAAAGCCTGCTGATCAAGGCTTCAATTCTTATGCAGCTCCTGGTTCAGTATATACATCTCCCCCTTCAAATCCTAGCCTTGCAGGACAAACTGGAGGCTATTCTTCGTACTATGGCACCAATTATGGTTATTAAATAGGTGTGGTTCTGGTTAGGACAGTATGTGCCATGAATTATACTATTTGTACACCAGTGTTGATATGCCAGTGTACACTCCCCTCACAAGAGGGAGGGGCCCATCCCTAATAAAAAAGGCGTGCCCCCCACCCCCCCACCCCCTCTAGTTAGAGGAGGGTACACCAGCGCGTCAACACAAGTGTACGTATAGCAAAGCCCATGTGCCAATGTGTCGATGTAGTTTGGTTAGAATCTAATAATCCTTATGTGACAGTTTGCATTACGAACTTCAGTTTCTAGGACTTGTAACACACAAGAGCCAAGAAGTATTTTATATTTTTTGCCTCTAGAAATTTATCCTGTACCTTTGAAATGGTCAGATTTGACCTTATTAATACATTAAGATATAGTAGTGTATTATTGTTCTGATCTCATTGCCTTTTTTTACATTCAAACAGACTTTATGATGGGTATTTGACACAACGAAATTTAAAGCATGCTTGGAAGTGTTTAAATTAAGATTTAAGTGATTACAAATTGTGGGTTTTATAGAATGTATTGATAGTGAGTGAATTTTATGAAATTGTGGATAAAAATTATAGTTGACCAACTAGAATAATAATTAAGCTTTGTTCAAATGCAACAATTGATGTGTAAATTTGTATTGACAGAGTTAGATTTGGGATAACCTTTCCTAGTTCAGTTTTTCGGTCCTCAATCCTGACAGCTCAAGACATTGATTTGAAACTCGAATTGAATATGTGAGTTTGATTAGTGCTTGTTTGGTAGGGATTTTGATAATTGATTTTTTGACCGTTAGAAATAAAGTGGGTCATACTTGTGAGAGATGAATTCAAAAATGACGGTTGGAATAGTGAAATAACAATCAAAAAATTGATTTTAATTGGTTCAAAATCTGTACCAAACAAGCACTAGATAAGTTAAGAATTAATCCAATCATAACTCAAGGTTGATGGGGGTTACATAAGCCTCGTTAATTTTATTTTTTTTAAGAGTTTTGTTATTTGTGCAACGGGATGTCAATTAACTCACACGGACGAGTTCACGCTCAATAATAAATCGTGAGCCTCCCCCTAGCGAGTGGGTCAATCCAAATTTTTACAAAAGAAACAAGAGATTAGCGGTAAAATTGAGGTGACGACTTTAGTTTAACAATTTCTTGTTAGGGTTTTTACCCATCTTGCCCACATGGCCGGTCCTGAGGCGAGGCGGATGAGGCCTACGCATCAGGCCCAAAACTGAATGGGGCCTCATTTCCATGGCGATTTCTTTCTTGCCCAACCACTACTAATACACTCACCAGACTCGCGTAACCTTCTGACAAACTAAATTCAGAAGTTGGTTTCCAGGTGGTTCTCCGTCGATACCTTCGATTAGGTAAATTCTGTTGACCCATTAATTATTTTTCCCCTATATTGAAAATTCTATTTGGTAATCTGAATTTAAGATTTTACTCCGTTAGAACCAAGGAGACCACTTTAGTGGGGATTTGCGTGTAAATTAAAATTTTGCTCCAGTTTTTATTGAAAAAAAAATTTCTTATGTTGGGAAACCTTGTTCTAAGCATGCACTAGAACTTGGTTTTTGGAGTGAAAAAGAATGGTGAAAGTGAAATTACTAGGTTACAGAATCAAAGGATTATAATAAAAGACTTAATTGTGAAG